ACACTTCTCTTTTTTACTGGAATTATTCAGACGAATGAAGAATTGAAGTACAAACACAAAGGATTTTTTTATGATTCACCTACATCTCCCTAGTAGCTATAGTTTTCCTGACAATACACACAGGATTATTTGATCTTTACTCAAAATCCTCAGATCTGGAAGGAGAGAGATCTGAATATGGTGAGATGTAACCACCCCTGGCGGGTTTAAACAAATGTGGTGGTCTACTTGTTATTCACATGATATAACTAAAAATTGACTTGCTGTAAACTCTGGTTACAAATGGGAGATGCAGAAAACAAATCGTTTGGGAACACCTTTTGAATGCATCTTGCCGACTGTCTCGTCAGCTTGCAACTCTCTTATTTGCTTACTTGCATCTGTTTCGAGTGAGGGGAGGGTCTGCATGAGCCATGAATGCCAACACGAGGAATACCTGCAACCGGATTTGTGCTGGAGGAGAGCTCAGTGGCTTCCTCCAGAGCTGTTCTGATTTATTTATTTTTATACTACATATTCATCAAGCAATTACAAATGCTCTTGGCTGAGAGAGGGGGATGGCTCCTGATTACAGCATACACAATCATCTATGATTAAGCAAGTTCATACCATGCTCATGCAAAAGTTCAGTCTCCCACATAGACAAGCTTTACTTCTGTTGTAAAGGTTTCTACTGTACCAGAGAAGCATGTTTCCTAGCTGTGTTTTTTATTCAATAGTTTCACATAGTATTTCAGATATCCTAGCTTCAGGCCAAGGAGAATCAGAAAGAAAAAGGTCAAAAACTTGAACATGTCTTCAAATTAAAATTGTGAAGCTATTGTAGACAGTTGAGGATAGATGTGATGTATTTGTGGCAGTGAGTGTCACTGAAGAGGTTTTCTGTAACATTTTGTACTATTTGGAGTTTCCTAAGTGTTGCAGGCTTCATGCCCAGGTATATCGGTTTGCTGTAATATAGCCAAGTGACCAAGGTGTGAAAAACTAAGGCCAGGTCAGTATCTGCCAGGATGGGATGCAGTCTCCCAGCCAACTGGGGAGGTTGGAAGTGATAATTGCTGCTCTGAGAGAGCTGAATGTACTTGTGGATCTCTTTTTTCTTTTTTTCTTTTTTTTTTTTTTTTTTAAATAGGGGCTCAATCACGAATGTGTGCTTTAACCACAAACTCTTCCAAATTCTCTCCTCTGCATACTGACATCTCCTGTCTCACTCGGGTTCAACTTCACCTACCTGTTGTGTATCTCAGATTATCTTGACTCAGCAGTGGGACCTCATCCTGGTATTGGCATGATTGCATATGGTAAAAAACAGAGATGTTTGTTTTCTGTGCCTTGCCAGCACTGAGACCACTTACCCTCAGTTGTATATAAATATTGAAAGAGCTGGAGATATGTCTTGGCTGATTTGATACCCCAGGGTAAAGACACAGGCTCAGACTTTGCTCTGAACTCATGTTGCTTCTTGCAGATGAGATGGGAGTGCCCAGTGTAAATTGTGGTGTAGCGAGACCTGGAAGGATGTGAGTGGATCATCTTCCTCTCTCTTGATGGGAGGGCACCTTCGGTTGGTGGCAGCAGAGCCACTTCAGCTCTGGGTCTGGTGAGAGTCCACTTTGTGCTAGGCTAGACCATAGGTCATGGCAAAACAAACTTTCAGGTTCCCAGAGCAGTCTAACTATCCTAATCAGACATCAGAAGTTCATGGTGGACAATAGTTTACTAATGTACGCAGAGGGGACTTCTTTTGGGGTGGTTGTTTGAAGGAACAAAGAAACACTCTTTTGCTATGTTATACTGGGACTGTTTGGTTCAAGAAGAGCACCAGTTGTCTGTGATTCTACCTCCCAACCACAGTGCTAAAATCAGGATCTTTTGTGGCTCCTGTTATAAAATTCTGGACTGGCCACCACAGTAATGTGATAACAACCTGTATCACCAGTTCTTGCAGTGCCCTCAAAATTATCAGGACGGCTGAACTTTGTCCTGGGTTGAGTGAGTGGTGGAGTTTTTTGGTGGCAGGGGAGGGGGCAGTCAAGAGTGGCTTAGATCAGAAATTACCTTAGCCAGGGGTGACCTGTGTATGAACAAAAATTCTGTAAGGTTTTGTCTCTCATTTCCTTTTGGTAGCAACTTAGTTTTTATTCTTTCTCCCCCTTTATCTTTCAGACTTCCCTGAAAACAGATTGTGCAACATCCTGCAAGAGCAGAGCTCTGTCTTTTAGAAAGGACAGATTTTGAAATTGAGGTAGCTCTCTTAACCCCAGTGGGATGCATACCAGTCTACTGGCAATGGGGTCCCACTGCTCTCCCCAAATGTTCGTAGGCCTCCTGATATGTATGCAAGCCCTTCATCTCACCCACTGAAGGAAATCCTGTGCCTTTAAACACCCTCCCCATGGTGGGTGTACACTTTTGTGCTTATTCTGAACTGACAGGTTTAACATGTCGCCTGCCTGCTCACCGGAGAGAGGCACCTCTGGCAAAAGTTCAGAAGTCAGTGTTTTGGAAAGATTGGTTTGACCAGCTCTCAAGTGAGAGCAAATCCCAGACCAAAGGCAGTCAAATCTTCAACGACATTTAACTACTGTGGTGCTGTATCTTGCTGACATCCTTTTAACCTGCAGAGGAGTGTTCATCGTGTTTAAACCTTCGAGTTTTATTTATTGTTTCTTTTCTGCTCAGTTGGCAGGGGGAACTGGGGTGAAGACAGGTTGTTTTGACTTAATTCTAATTAATTAATTAGCTTGCATATGTTTCTGGCCCAAGACTACAGGACAGACTAGCAATTTTGGATGTTGCCTTCGTATCTAGACTTCTGTAATATATAGCATTGCAGTAAGGACATATATTCCCTTATTGCCTCTTCAGGGCTTGTTATTGGAGAGATCTTAAGATTTACTTCATCTTGCTTTATAAAATTGCCATTTCAGAAACCTTTTCACATCCTTTGGTATTTACATTGGAGGGTAAAAATTTCTTAAGAAACAAATGAACAAAAAAGAGCATGCAAACAGTTAATAGTAAGTGGTGCCCAAATTACATATTTCTTAAACTCATGGCCTACTTTACTAATCAGTTGTCATAAGATGTCAGATGGGGACCCATCACTGAAGAATTGCAGAATGCATCCAGTGAAGCAACTAATTATTTGGACAGTGGCATGGAGGTATGTGTCCCCAAGGAGCTGAAATGATCAGAGCAGGTGAAGAAAGTTTGGACAGATCAGTATCTCTGTAGTATAAAATCCAGCACTTGGCTGAATCACAGGGATGCCGAGGGTGAGGGCACCACGGGTCCTCCATCAGGGACCATGCACAGCGAGGGACTGCGGTACTGCTGTTTCCAGAAAGAAAGGCGAGTCAGCTGAATGCTTGAAGGAGCATGACCTGAGATGTGCAAGAATTAGAATAGTTGAGCAGTTCCTGGGTTTCATTCGGGAGAGTTGTAGCTGGATGGCTTGCTCACCGATGGCTTGTTACTCATTCCCAAAGTCTCTGCTCCCCGGCCACTGCAAGGGTTGGTGTTGGTCATTCCCTGTAGGCACCATCACAGGTCCATGATGGCCATTGAGCTAGCAGAGCAGAGGATCCATTAGCTCCTGTTACACCCAGGGATAAAAGGCAGCAGTAAGAGACCCTCAGACCTCTGGAACAGACATAAGAACCTCTGTTGTGGGCTAAAAGATGGAAAAAAATAAAGCTCCTAAACATCTATAGGCAGCCAATATACTCCTTTAACACAACTTAAGTTGTTTTGAGAGTGCGGCATGACTTTATTCTCTCTTCCCTTCATCCCACCCCTATACAGGTGCAGCCCTGCTGCACTCAAGGAGTTTTCTCTCCCTATACAAACTCCATAGGTGCAGCAGCAAAATAAATCCTCTCCAAAACTCCTCCAGAGGTAAAGCCCAACCACCCTCCAGGACCTGAGAGAGGGTGAGCCTGGGACTCCAGGAACACCTTCACATCGGCAAGTCACTCACTTTCACAGAAAAAAATAAGGATCTCATCCTCAGCCTCTTCTCTTTGGGTAGACAGAAAATTCAAAACCAGGTATTTCACTGGGGATCTTTAGTGGACCGAGTCCTCAGTAGAAAATCTTTTCAGTGCTATGATTTTGAAAATGTTATTGCACACTGCAGAAGCAGTTGCACAAGATGATAAGAACTGTTGTTTTAAGTATTAATAAATAATATTAAGCTGTATTTTCATACAGATTAAAGATAGCTATGTCACAGTAGTTATCAGGAGAAGCATTTCCAGACCTGGAGAACACTTTTGGAGACTTACTTTTGCAACTGCTTAATTCAGTGCAGTGGACAACTTCCACCAAATGGGCTGATTCAACGTTCAGCCTGGCTCAGCAGTTTCAGGACTGGCCCTACCCAAGGAAGGAGATGCTGACGGAGGACAATGGCCCTCCTGTGATTGTGTGGCCAAGGCTGGCGGAAGGCCTTGGAGGACACCTTGGACAGGTCGTGCACACCAAGTGCCTGGCAGAAACACACTCAGCAAACCCAAGCAAATGCTGTCTGGAGGTGTAAAAGGGCACCGGTTCTTTTCATCCTGTTGAATTCAAGGCAAGGTACTCGCTCAAGGGACAGATTCTCGGTTCCAAAAAAGCTGTTTCAACCTTTGAGCTGTCAATTTCCTTCCCCCATTACCTCCCATCTTTCTTTCCAGTATAGCACAGCTACTCTGAGTCATTGTTTATCTAATTTAATTAACATTTGCCAGTGCCTGCAACCTAAAACACTGTCTTAAAACATTTGCTTGAAAAGCCTCCTTGTCCCAGAGCTGTCATTTTTTAGCATGATGGATAATGGATAGAAATAATTATCCTGAACAAGGTTAGACAGCTTAAATGATTTGAGTTTCAAGGAATTAGTAAGCTTAGCTAAACATCTTATTTTTCAAGACACATTAATAATAAAAACACAGCAATGACCATAACGGATTGTAAAATCTGTACCCTGCTAAAATGTATGTGGTCTCTTGCAGGTAGCTGCGTCGGCAATGCCTTCACCCAGGGAGATTTAAATCAGCGCGTCATCGGTTACATCATCAATCCCTGCGTTGAAAACACTTCAGGTAACTTTGAATCCCAGATAAGATCCTTCCAGGGCTGGGAGTGCTGGTCTTCAGTTCAGCTGGTCCAAGTGGGAGGACCTGGGTCCATGGAAAGCCAGTGGTGTGGCCGTGGTCCCTGTAACAGCCCTGGAAAAGGCCGGAGGAAATCAGAAGTCAAAACTTGGTGCAGAGTGAGCTATTTCAGGTTTACAAAGTTATAACGGAGGGAGGAACTGGGCTCACTGCTTCTGCGTTATTTCCCCAGCTCTTAATTTTGGGGAAATAGAGGTTTTGAATTAACCATTGACCTTTAGCTTTGAAGAAAAACAGAACTTCAGCATGAAATTGCTGAAAAATGAGAGTAACAATTTGCAATTGCTTAATTTCGCTCCTAGAAACCCAGGTGCAGCCAGGCCTCTGCAGCGCGCTGCACTGCACTGCGCAGAAGTGGGCTCTCCTCCAGGGAGTCTCAACCCAAGGCAGACAAAGAAAATGTGGAGAAAAACAGGCACCTGGCAGAGAAGTGCCAAGCCACAGGCATCAGCACCCGGGAGATGCCCCCTCTGTGCCCTGCACGTTGCACTGTGACACCTTTCAATTAATCAAGCTCCTCCACCCGGCGAGATGCACAAACCTGGTGCTGTTCACCTCGGTGCAAAGCAGAGGGTCGCATCCTGCTGCCTGTCAGCCACTGTGAGTGCTCTCAAGAGCTGCCCGGCCATCCCGCATGGAGCCAGCACCGGCAACAGAGCCGGGCTACAGGCTCCTGGCGTCTAAATCATTAAATGCATCAATATGATGGAGATTTCCACTTCAGGTAGATTTTTTTCTTTGTCGTTTTTTTAAATTGTTGTTCACCGAGTTTTACATTTCGGGGGCCTTTAGGCAAATTAAATAAAAATCTTCATCCAAAAAAAGTCTATTTTCACTTCTGAAAGCAAATGAAAATTTTCTTTTTAAAGATGGAGAATTTGCCGACCCACTTGGTAAAATCCAAAAGTTTCACTTCGACCCTCACTTTTTACGTTTTTAAATTTGTTTTTTAAAGATCTCTGAATTGGTGTAGAACGATTTAAAATTCTTCTGGCAAAGTGCTGTTTTATTGCTCCAGAGCTAGCATAAAGCTGAATGGGTGGCTGTATTTCAAGCGAGGAGCTGTGGGAGAGTGCAGCTTGCAAATGGCAATAGAGCTCAGAAATTGAACTCTAGCCTTTCTATTCAGTGCTCTTTTTATTATTAAGTCACAGAATAAGTAAAATGTTACAGGGACACTTTAAATCTATACTTGTTTGTACAGCATCTGATGAATATGTGATGGGGAAAAAATGAAAAATGTGGGGATGCTGAAAGTAAGGAGAAGATTGGATGTTGAAGAATCAAGTATGGTAAATTATGGGATACAGGCAAATCCGTAAGCCTAACCTGAAATGGAGGAACACGGCTTTGTTGCTCTTTCATGGTTGTGGGGTATCTTTGGGGTAGGTGCCCTCTGCTTGGTGGCTCACAGGGTGGAACATGTCTGTGGCACAGCAGGAGGCAGCAATGGCCAGAAGCTGCCTCAGCTGTAGCAAAAAAAAAAATATATATATATATATATATTAATATCTGAAGACGCCTTTTGTTCTGATTTTTTTTCAGACTTGAAATAAATTGGTCCAGAACTGAATTACACAAAACTTTTTCTCATGCTCATGAAAATGCTGGCATGGGTGGCAAAGACAGGTGAGAGTGTGGAGCCATCATTCACACCAGCATCAAGATAGGCTATGAAAAGTTTGGATGGAGGATGCCTGCAGATGCCACTAGCACCTCTTAATAATATGAAGCCTAAATGTCTGGTTGATGCATCTAATTTAGACTAATGAGTCTTACCTTGTTTTTAAGGGCCAAGAAGTTTCAGCTGGAGCTCACTAAAGTTCACCTGCAGGACTACAATTTAGTGCAGGTGGATCCTGGTACTACAATGATTTTATTCTGTTCCATTATGGCTCCTGGAGACACCATTTCAAAAAGGCACATAATGAATACAGTTCAGAAGAGAGAACTATACATCCTCTGCCCATGTACAATAAGCAGGGCCACTGGGAAGTGTCTTCTCCATGGACATTCCCAAGGCTGCAGATCCCTGGGGAGCTTCCTCCATGAAGCTTCTCATTACCAACACCAGTTGCAGCTACAGAGAAATAAGAGAGCAGAAACACATCCATGCTGCTCCCATACTGTGCATGAGTCCCCATTGCCAGTTCCTTCCACCGTAAGACAGTGCAGGTGACCCACCACCAGCATTTACCCATTGTTTCCCATTAGGAGCCAGCCTTGCTGAGTGTCCTGGCTAAGTATCCCTGTCCAGACAGGTGTTAACATCTCCCAGGGTGGAGAAAGCAGGAAGAGGCAGGGGAACACAGTCACTTTTCTGGGTAAGGACGATGGACAACCACCTCTAACACTGGCACCGTGGAGGTTGTCATTTAGAGAAGCAGCCTGAAAATTTGGAGTCCTTAGTTGTGCTCTTATAACCCAGCATAGGAAACACAATGCAAAAAATTCTCCTATTCTTAGGTCCTTGAGTGAGGTGAAAGAGAAATCTCTTGGGGGAAAAAAAAAAAAAAAAAAATTATTTCTGCTCTCTGGGCTGACTGGGGCCACAGACTGATTTCTGTTTCCCACCAGTGCCAAACCAGTTCCCTGGTGACCACCACTGGCCTTGGTGCTCCTATACTCACCTGCCTCTTCGTCCTGGCCTCATGACTGTCCTTCTTGGTATGGTGATTGCCCACGTGGGAGGAGGTGTGAATCCCCACACCAAACGTGCTGGGAAAGAGTGGAAAGGGCTGATCCTCCTGTGGTAGTTTCTAGCCTTATTTTAAATGTGGTTTAAATTTCACAAATCCATTGTAACTATTTTTTGCCCTTCTCCTAGCCTGAGAAAATAACACAGTGTTAAATATGATTTCCTGATTGTTTTTTTAACATGTAATAACAGAACCAATGTGAACACTAAGGAGCTTTTGCCTGTGTTTTCTGTGCCCTGAACGAGTGGCAAGTGGCCCGTGAACTACCTCGTCATTTCTAGTGCTGTAAATAAGCACAGTTTGTGTTTTCTGTAGATCAGAGATGGTTGGGTCAGATGGAAGAGATCACTGAGACAGACAGTCCCATGACAAAGAGATACCCCCATGGAGGCAGCTGTTTACGTACCACAAAAGTGAGTTGGACAAAGAGGGATTTGGATGGGGCACCAAACCTGCCAGTAGCCAGTTGGGCAGTGGCTTGAGACACGAGGACGAAAAAATGACAGGGACAATTATTAAGGCTGGGGTCTATGGTGTAAAGGTAAACGTGTCATGGATTAAATTGTGCTGCTTAAAAGGTAATGCCAAAGGTATTATTGTCAGTGGACCCTTGCTCCAGCTCTTGTGGCACCCAGGATCATTGCAGCTCTGCAGTCAGACAGTGGCTGGAGAGGACCAGCAATAAGAAAACCACATCCAAGGGATGGGGAAAGCAAGGTGTACACAAGACCCTGGGTGGCAGATGTACTCATCCACAAACCTGCCCCTTGGAGCAAGAGCAAGCCAGCTCTGCCTTTTTGCCAAAAACAGAAATCAAGGGAAAGGAACTATAACACACGATGGGTGTCTGCTCCTTGGGGTTTCCTTTCAGTAGCGCAGTTGGGTTTTTGATGTAATTTGTTTCTCATGCTTGTGGATGTGTAATATGAGGCAGAGCACTCATTATTGGGGAGCCACAACCGATAGATGAATAACATGGTTGGGTGCCAATGTTAGCGTTGGCCCTGCGTAACCATCATGTTGCTAACCTGCATTAATTGCTCATGGCAAAACCAATGGGTTGGTTTTCCTTAGCAACTACTTTGTAATTAAAGAGCGAGTCCAACAAAAGCAGTAGTAAAGTATAATTATGTAGTTACTTTTTTACAGTTACCAGGTCATTCTTGGAGATATATATATTTATAATTAATATGTTGCTGCTGTGTGCTGGGTGACTGGGAGAAGCTGGACTCTGGAGCATGAAGCAGCTGCAGTTTCCTCTGTTGCTGGTGTTTTAGGTGTAGCAGCCTCTGCTCACCCTTCTTGGTTGGGAGGAAGCGTTGCTTTTTCCCCTGCCTTTTGGTCACGGTGCTCTGGCCAGTTCTTGGCACACCCCTGCCTCCTCCTCACATCTGACGGCATCTTTGCTTCTTGCCCACCGCATGCCTCTGTGGTTGAAGCAGTTCTGGTTGTCCTGCAGGGATTTTAGCTAAACACCATGGTAGAAAGTGCTCTTAAAAACATCAGGCAGCAAGGGGGAAGGCGGGTAAGAGCACAGCAAACTGCAGCTAATACAGTAGTATTTTTTAAAGACAAAATGCAGAATGGATGCAGTGGATCTTCCTTGGCCACGTGCCGACTCTTCTGCATTGTGCATGATGAGTAGAACAGATTGTTGGGGGGGGGTGGGGGGGGTGGTTTATTGAAGAAAAAGGAAATTTCTGTGCAAACTTAAATTTTCCACATGAAAATCTCAGGTTTGCTACCTGATAATTTCATGGGGACAATCAAAACACAGCTCTGTGTTCTGGGTTGGTTTGGGATCACACTGATGTGCTAAAGTCCACCAACCTCAGCTGGATGTGCTGATCTGGGAACATCACGGTCCCCCATTGTATGTTCTATCAAACATAAACAGTTGTGACTTAATTTTTCTTCTATAAAAAAAAAAAAAAAAAAAGGCAGTATTTTAGCATGCGGCTGAAAACAAACACCAGTTAATGTTCTTTATGTCCATTAAATAGGAAATCAGTGAATAAGAATGAGAGTGTGAAAAATGCTCTTTAATAATTTGGGATTTTGTTGATAATAACATAGATCTTTGCCCCAAAATTTGAAATTCAAGTAACTAGCCAACTTTTGCAATATTTAGAAAACGTGTGATCTTCTGATTATTCCAGTGGAAAATGCTTAGGAATTCACAGAGCAGTCTCTGTGGTGAGTTCAGATGTAGGGATTCACTCAAGTATCTGCTTAGGTCCCATTGATGTTGTGAGACCTAAATCCCCTTCCTAAATAGCAGTGCTTTCCCAGGTGAGGATTCGGGTTGGAAAAGTGCCTCCCTGTTGGGTCCATTTCAAGCCTTTCTCATCACTCGCCCTGCAGTGGGATGGATGTCCAGGGGGAGGGAGTCGTTTCCCCAGACGTCTCCTGTTCCCTGCAGCTGGATCCAGTCCTGGCCATGAGTTCAGCACAGCCCTCACAGCTTAGGAGGTGGTTCCTGTAAACCCAGGACAAGGCTAATTTCAGGCTATTAGAATTTTGGCTCTCAAAGCTTTGGTTTCTCCCTTCTGCTCTCTGCTTGAACCCTGGCAGGCGGGTTTGTGTCTGCCTAATGTGAGTTTACTCCTTGTGCAAATCTGGAGTACTGTTGAATCTTTCAAAACTGCTCCATCATTTGACCATCAGGGTATGTCGAGTAGGACAATTCCCACTGTCTCTCTGCAGTGTTTGCAGTGATTTTCAAAGGACAGTTGACTTTTCCTAAATTTAAAATGTATTTCTATGGAAACTGTGAGGCTAGAAGAATGATTTGAAAAAGCTTAATACCTAACGGCAGCCAAGATAATGGCAACAGGCAGACATACAGTGGTGTACGGGATATCCCCATCATCCTAAACAGCTGAGCTGCAGGTGTAGGCAGGTGGACTGGAGGATATATCCAGTATTCACCGCTCAGCCTGCATGTCCTGGGCACCCCTCGCGTGGTGCTTAGCAGCCTGTCGTGCTGCCTGGGACCACGGGCAGTCACGGCCACTGGTGCTGGGGAGCAACTCGGGCAAACTGGAACCGAGGAATTGAAATGGGATGTGATGAAAGCACCCGGAGGAGCAAAGCCTGAGCAGCTCACTCGGTGCAAACTGCAGCGTGCCCTTGTCTGGGTGCGGAGGTCGGCGGTGGTGCAGCACTTCCACAGCAGCGCCTGCACACAGGCTATTTCCGATTCCCATAAAAATCTTTATGTCTCTGTGATCAGGATTCGGTGATGCAAATTTGCTGTGTCAAAGGAAGATGCCGCTGTAAATGAATTAGTACAAGAAGAATTTCTTATTTAAGAAGTGCTGACTCTGCACTCTCCCCTATGCCCTCGCTTTTAAAATTGAAGTCTGGGTTTGCTGCTTGCTATGATCTATATTTAGATACTTGTAAATGAAGTTTTGCAGTCACATGGCTGCATTCTTGTACAGCTTCATGAAGCTGGTTTTTCACATTACAGAGATTTATACGTTTGCGTTTACATATTGCAGGTGTTTCCATAAAAGCTTGGGGTAGCCACATTAAGGAGGATGGCCTGAAAGAAAACCAAGAGGTGTTTAAAATTATACCGAGCACACCTAAAAACATTGTCCTGGGGCAAAAGAGTGAAGTCACTGCAGAAATGAGGGAGTCACAGACAGGTAAGAATGATGGATGTAGGCTTCCTGAGAGCACCTCCTCCAAGCAGAGGGTTGAGTTGTGCAAGGGGACAGCATCCTTTTCGGGATGTATCTCATGTGATGCTCCCAGTAAACTGACAGGCACCTAGCAGAATATTTCAAAATGTCAAAGAGTGCTGCAGTGCTGAGCTCATGCTATGTAAATGATAGCCTGATGAATTATGTGCTGTACACACTACACACAAATCCTGTCCCGACCAGCCCTGGAAGAGGAGATAGTATTCTTGCTGGTGTGTCCTCTGCTCCAGGAAGCCTGCCAGGAGGACATGCCATAATTCATGCTCTGCTGATGTTTTATAGAAGTTGCAGCCCGTACCTTGGCTGCTGTGCTGCTGACCCCAGCATCCATGTCACCCACCAGCCCCGCCGAGCCCGGTGGCTGTCTGCAACCCCCTATGCTTAGCCCAGGAAGGCTAATAATGTGTGATCTAGCCCTCCGGCTGGCACAGGCAGTGCAGGCAGGCCGTCCTGCCTTGCCTGGGCTCAGCACAGCATCAGACAAAAAAGGTCAGGGCTCTCCCCGCTTTCAGGCTACACCCAGAGCTGACTTGACCCCAGCTTTGCCCTCCTGACTGCAAAACCCTCCAGCTTAACACAGAAAACAAGGCAGTAAGTCATAGGGCTTCTCCTTAGCTGAAGAACCCCTCCAATCTCTGCTGAGTAACAGCTACCAAAACCAAAGGATTATCAGCACTTAATTTAACCTTGTTTGGAACTCACCATAAAACTGTGGTGCAGCACCTTCCATGAGGCAGTGCCTGGGAAACAGGAGGTTTTCCAGAGGGAAGGGGCAGTCTGGCAGTATGGGCTAATAGGGGAATTTCCCCGTGAACTAAAATAGTTCTGAAACATTGAGAGGGGATGGCAGAAGTTTGGGGCAGAATGGTGAGAGAGTTTGGCTGCAGGGAAAGAGTATTTTCCGTCCCTTTTTCCATGGTGTGCTGCAAGCTTGGCCCAAGGACAACCCTGGTGCAAACTCCATCCTCCCCAGAGGGCAAGGCAAGGTGCAATGCGGGGTGAGGAGGGTGGTTGTGTGGGTGTGGGTCTTCAGGACCAGGAGCAGCCGGGCAGGTGGGTGCCCAGGCCAGCACACCCGGAGGTGCCAGCTTGCCATTTTTTTGGAGGCTTCTGCCTTTTTGGAAGCTTGCTGGGGAACCAAAACCCCCCAATTTCCTGCTGCCACAGAGAAGGCCGGGTGCTGCCCCAAATGTGGGTCAAGAGTGACACCCTGTGGACAAGTTCCTCTTTTTCGCAATTCCTCCAGGATTTATCTTGCGGCTTTATTTTTTTTCTTTTTTTTTTTTTTTTTTTTTTTTTTTCGCCTCTGGCTTTATTCCACCCCTCCCCAAACGCTTTGCTTGCACAACCCTCCCCACGCAGGGACCAGAGTTTCTCAAACCCCTAAAAAGCGAAGGGCTGAAGAGAGGGGCCCCAAATCCCTTCCCCCCACACACACACACTTTTGTTCCTTTTTTTTTTTTTTTTTTTTTTTTTTCTTTCCCGTTTTTCCCCTTTTTATACCGGTTTCACCCGTGCGGCCCAGCGAGGGGCAGTGCCTGGGCCCTGGCTCCCCGCGGCGGCTCAGCGCGGCTCATCAGCTGGAGCCGCCTGCGCTCCCGGGGGCTCGTAAATCTACCGGCTGCTCGCAAAATTTGGCAAGTATGAACCCAGGCTGTCTGTTAAACGGGGAGAGAAACTGCGTGGGCTTCCCCGCAGCCACCACCACCGCACACCCCCGCCCCCTGCCCCCCAAGTCTTCCCTGGCCTCCGCAGCTCCCCAGGCTGCTCCCCTGCACAGACATGAAAAACCCTCCATTTGAAAAAAAAAAAAAAAAAAAAAAAAAAAAAAAAGGATTATAAGGAGAGCTTCTTTTCTGGTCACCATGATGATCCCTTCCCAATCTCGGACCTATGGGGGTTGCACTGTGCTCTCCTGATGCTCTTGGTGTTATCCCCAAGGAGCAAAATCTGGTGTCCTGGGACAGGCTGATTGACACCAGCTGACAGCCTGGAGAGGGTACAGCTCTATTTTAAGCAACAAATAATTCAGTCTTATATTGGTGAGAAATTCCTCATCATTCGTTTAATTATGAGGGTCTAAAAGAAACCATGTTTTGGCACACCTGAGTGCTGGGAGTGGGAAAGAGGGGGCTGTCAAAATCCTTCCAAGACTTTATGTCCTTTCTTACCCCCGGCAGTTTAACCCTGCCAAGTCTGCACAGACCTATATATATACACATATCCAGAAGCAGAGACTGGATGGAGATTCCTTAATACCCACAAAAGAAGCAAATATAAAGGCAGTATTTTTTTTCCAGTATTTATATGCTACCATTAACTCTACTTTAGCTGGTATAGTTTAGAGCTTTCAGAAAATATAACTTCATCTGCATGAACTACCATATGTTTTTGCTGAGAGGTGCTGCCAGGTTTGCCTGGACAGCCCACCAAGATCCTCTGCCTTTTCCACTAGATGTAAAATCATAGAATCATAGAATCACAGAATGGTTTGGGTTGGAAGGGACTTTAAAGACCATCCAGTCCCAACCCCCTGCCCTGGGCAGGGCCCCCTTCCCCCAGCCCAGGGGGCTCCCAGCCCCGTCCAATCTGGCCTTGAACCCTTCCAGGGAGGGGGCACCCACAGCTGCTCTGGGCACCCGGGGCCAGCGCCTCACCCCCCGCACAGGGAGGAATTTCTGCCTTAGATCTCACCTAAATCTGCCCTGTCTCAGCTTAAGACTCTTAGCCCTCAACCTATCCCCACCCCCTGATCCAGAGTCCTTCCCCACCTTCCCTGTCCCCCCTTTAAGCCCTGGGAGGCCGCTCGAAGGGCTCCCCGGAGCCTTCTCTTCTCCAGGCTGAACCCCCCCAACTCTCTCAGCCCGGCCTCCCAGGGGAGCTGCTCCAGCCCCCCCAGCATCTCCGTGGCCTCCTCTGGCCCTGCTTGAGCAGGTCCATGTCTGCTGTTGGGGGCCCCAGAGCAGGACCCAGCACTGGAGGTGAAGACTCAGAAGAGCAAAGTAGAGTGGGAAAATCCCCTCCCTTGCCCTGCTGGCTACAATTCTCTCGGTGCAGCCCAGGACGTGGTTGGCTTTCTGGGCTGCGAGTGCACATTGCCGGGTCATGTTGAGCTTATTGTCAATCAACACCCCCAAGACCTTTTCCTCAGAGGTGCTCCCAATCCATTTTCCACCCAGACTGTGTTTGTGCTTGGGATTACCTTGATGCACATTCAGGACATTGGGCTTGGCCTCGTTGAACTTCATGAGGTTCACATGGGAATGTGAAAGAGGAAGAGGTATCTATGCCCTTATACCATTTCCAGCAATCTAGGCCTGAGCATGCATCCTTGTCAGATGAAAAGAGAGAGATCAGATTTCTTAGTCCAGTTTCTGGGACTCTGTAGAAGAATATTAGGTTAAAAAAAATGAGGAAGGGGTGGTATTTTCCCAATCATACTCATGACCTACTATGTGTTGTACTCTAAAGTTCGGAGGCTGCACCTGAGCAGGCATCAGAAGTGCTCAGAATGCATCGGGAAAAATAAGTAGAAAAATTTTAAAAAACATGCATCATCCTGGGAACTTAATAATGAACAGCAGAAGTGGAAACATCCACCAGGTGAGGAGTGTGAGTTAAGAAGCTGTTGGTTGCTGAAGAGTAGGTTGCTTGACTTCACCAAGCAAACAAGGAAGGTTGTGGGAATGTTACTGGGTTGTGGAAAACAGGGTTAGGGAGCTCAGCATGAGCAAGGGAAGCTGTGTACCATCTCCAAGATGTGGCAAAACTGAAAAATTCCCTCTTCTCTTTTAAAAGACAAGGCCACGTCTTGGTGGGAAACATTTCATCCCAAATCCTGCCTCCTCAGTTCAGATTAGGCCACTCTGCCTATGGCAAGATGTTGTCTTGTATCTCTTTCAGTCTTATTGCATGGTGGGACGATACAGCAGATAATATAGTTCACCCCAGAGATGGCTGCAAATCTCAGGAAATTTACTGCTGGTAATTTTCATAATTGTATCGGATGGTCTTGCTAAAGATCTGCAGCTCCAAGTCAGCCTGGCACCAAGGGCTTGGGGGAGCTTCACCGCTTGCTGTGCAACAGCTCAGATACAACAGCTATTGGCAGAGTTAGAAACAGGGTCAGGCCGTAACGGTCCATTTTGGAATTTAAATTTGGTCGCTTTGAGGTAAATAGCTGTGCTGCCTAGTTTTCATTGGATCGTTTACTTTTCCGGAAAGTAGAGTATGCTTTTGGAAAGTGCACAGGCATCTTTCAGGATGAAGGGTTCTGTGTGCAACAATCAAGTTTTTACCTTTTAATTAACAAAGCTTTATAAAGAATTTCAATTCAGAATTACTAAACAAAGAAACTATACAAGCCCCAGATGAGATCTAAACAGTTTCCAAAAGACATTAAGAAAGAGAAAAATACTGGGCCACATGTTTTTTCTTATGTCTCTTGAGTCCATTTATTCCAGACATCTGACATGCAATTCAAATTTCCAATAGTTTTAGGTAACCATGTCCAATTTAGAAACCGCAGCCTTCAGCTAAGCCTACCTACCTCCCAAATCAGTCCGGAAAACCAGAGCTCTTGCTGATACTCTGCATTTTCAGATTTGCAGAGCTTTGTTATGTGTGTGCCATATATACTTGGGTTGAGTTTTCTGACTCCGTGCAAGCCATTTAGATATATTTCATAGACCTGTAGTCAGTGGTCACAAACAGATAAATTATAGTTCCTAATGGAGAGCCTGTTTGTGTTTTCAAAGAGTAAAACCACTATAAAATTGATGTCCTCTTTTGAGATGCCTTTGACGGCGGTTATCGTATGGCAGTTTGGATGAGGTGGAAGCAAAGGGTTCCTTGTGAATGAAGAACTAATGAGCTTTATTTCTGGCTCAGAGACTTTGGGCAGATTTCTTAACCTTTCTGTGCCTGGGTGTTTGTATCTCAAA